TCTTTGCTTGGTTGAGTGGGTCGACTTTTATCGAGAAAAATAGGTAAAATCGGAATTTACAACTAGGGGCGTGCCAACGGTGTAACTAATTATGACTTCTCTGGTCCACGCTGGGTTCCTAGGCTGAATTTATAGTCTATCAAAACATTTTAATTCAATTTTGTTTATATTATATTCGACCGATTTCATAACGGCTTAGAAAAGGAAAATTTTCTAAAGATTTAAACTAATTCAATGAAAAATGTCAAAATAATTTTGATAAATAAATTCGATAGAGTTGTAATGTGCTAAGGAGCAATTATGGCTGGAAGCACGAAAGTCTCGAACAATATCTGCAACAATTAATGAAAATCCTAGTGCTAAAAAATCGTTGATTTTTAAAAACTGATATTATGTCATGTATATCTTCATAGTGTTTTTTTTAGGAAAATAGTAGTTAAAAGAAAAGATATCAATCTCATCGCAAAGATACCTACTTTTAAGCTACGTGTTTCTTCCAATATTTACACATTGAATTCATTCTCTTTAGCATATTAGAGATAAATATAATAAATATAATAATATATTCCTTAGATATTCTACATTATTTTTTACACATGGAGCACTTTATATTGGTAAGATTAGCTTGGGTCAGGTTACAGTTCAAGTTCTAATTATAGTTAGGACGGGTTTGTTACAAATAGGATATTACGATTGTTACGATATTACGATATAGGAATTTATGGTTATATCAGATAAGTTTATTAAAGATATAACTTACCCCCTTTCCTTGTCTTCCTTCCCCCTGGTCCGCTTAGGTTCTATTCCCATTATCTTCATCCAAGCATTTCCCCCTCCTTCCATCAATTCAAATCAGAAAATGAATTAAATAAAACAATTTATTTCATCGAAATAAAATATGAAAACAATTTAAAATAGATTATTACATGTAGTTGAGTATGGTATTTTAAAATAGATTGATTTTCCTTGTAAATTCTTTTTTTCAGTTATTGTTTTAAAACTTACTTTTTCCTCTAGCTCTTGACTAGTAAAAATTTTGTATTGGAAGGGGGGGGATAGATTTATTGTAATTCATAAAATATTAGTTTTTTACTTCAAAGGGGAGGGGTAGGAAAAGCAATGGATCGACCCCACCACCACTGAGATGGTTTTTGGTTTTATTTTAACCACCAAGATCAATTTAGATTTTACATCAAATACATTATCCAGACATAATCTAAAGCTTATTCTGGAACACTGCTGATTACTGAACTAACTTCCCCTGCGAAATTTCCACTTAAAATATATTGTGCATTATGTGCATAGTTTATAAACCTTTAGGTAAACACTGCAGCAATAAACAAGTTAAAAATGGGGGGGGGGGTATTTCTCCCCCCCTCTTTTGAAAGAAAACTACTAGCACCCATGCAAGAGAAATAAATTTCAAGAAATGTTTGGTTTAAAATTACCAAATTTGCTTTGATGTTGAATTTGAAAAGACAAACAAAGATAAAACGAAGAATAATACTGGATCTTGAACAGACAAAACTGTATTTGAACATAATACTGGATCTTGAACAGACAAGACTGTTTTTGAACATAATACTGGATCCTGAATAGACAAAACTGTATTTGAAAATAATGCTGGATCTTGAACAGAAAAAACTGAATTTGAACACGCAAAAGAAATATTTTTTTTAATTCAAAGGCTTAGGGTACAGGGTGGAAAAAAGTCCGCTCCGTGAAAAAGAATCTAATATAGCCCATAACTGTTTTGTGACTAAAGCTACAGATCTAAAAACTATATGTTTGAAAAGCCCTTAAAAAAATGCATGTAGAAACATTGTCACACTTTGATATTTGTTTAAAACAAAAAACATTTTTTTACAATTTTTTTACCCTTTTTTAGGGTTTTTTCTCACCCTCCCTAGCACCCAAACTTTAAAAGTTATCGGTCTAATTTTTTTCTTTGAGCTGGCCATGAAATATTGGGCTATGAACATCATTTCAATCCTATACCTATTCTCTAAGGCCTTTTTCTAGTGGGGGGGGGGGCGCCAAACGTCCCCCAAGCCTTTAAAGGGTTAATAGAACGTTGTGATTATCATTAAGAATTAAATAAGATAAGATCAAAAACAGAATTAAATAATCCTTCTATAAACCAATGGATAGATAGATAGATATATATAGTTGGTTAATGGTTATTATTAAGAATAAGAATAAGATTGAAGGACCAATGTTGAATGTTTAGATCATATTTCTTGAAATATAAGCCTCCAAGGACTGCAGTCTTATAGTGAACCACAAAGTTTAAGTAAAAACTATGTTTAGAAGAATAAATGTAAGGAACGAAAAATAAATACAGGGTGTCCCAAAAAACATGGGAATTCAGTGAAGAATTGGATATCGTCTTTGTTATGAGTTAGCATTGTGATACCTAATTTCAAAAGCCATAATAGTATTATGTCTGCTAGAGTTTATTTTATGAAAAGGGTAAAGATGTGTCTATAATGTCTCCGAAAGATGATCAGTGATGACGGACAAGTTTACTATGTTTATTATATACTGCAATTTTCTTGTTTTACTAAGCACAACCGTATGCAGTCAAAACAAAAACAAACAAAATGTGAACATAGCAGACGAAACTCTTACAGATTTCAGCTTTCTCAGTAGGTATCACTATTTAAATTATTTAAAAAGACGATATCGAATTCGTCAAATAATTCCCATGTTTATTGGGACACCCTGTAGAACGGACCTAAAATTAAATTAGCGTTAATATCGTGGATAAACTATGTACACGCGTACTAGGTGTCTAAGAACTCGGTTTGGAAAAGCATCAGCTTTCATGAAAAAATGCGCAATGGGATTAAAGAAATGTAAAGCCACTCTCTCTTCTAAAATCACTAGACCCACTGCGGAGAGTTGTTAATGCAGACAATAATGTGCACATCTTTTATCTTAACCCCAAAATATCCCTCGTGATTGGTTAATCAGTGGTTGAAATATAAAGAAATATATACAGCTGTTAAATTAGTAAATCCCATTCGTGTGTGCGTGTGTGGTTCTCCTCAACACTCCATCCTGTGTAGATTATCCATGGTCATGAAGAAAGTTAGAAAGTTTACCTTACAAGGTGTCGTTAAAAAAAACTTAGTTGACTCCAGAGAAATCATATTTTGACATTATAAAAGTAGATACAATTAGTTCCAATGCAAACAAAGCACATTTTATTTACATTTGAAGTCGTTGAAAATCCTTTTATATTAATTTGGAACTAACAATATATACAAAAATGAAAAGTTTTGGTTTGCACCTTTTACTTTTAGAAAACTATTTACTCTCTACCAACATAAAAAGAGGCGGTTTTGGGTCAATTACTTAATTTAAACTTAATTTAAAGTAAACTGTTGAAACAAGACGACGAAATTGTAATTTATCAACAAATAGTAAAATTTTAATATCAGAAAAAAGTAACAAAATGTTTTTATTTAAAACTTTCATATATCACGACAAACTCCTATTTTTAAAAAATCTAATTTTTTATCCTTTTATGTTTGCAACCTGATATTTCAAGCTTAGACAATTTACAGTTTACAATTTATCTACTCTGTGCCAAAATTGAAAACATGGGTGGTTGGGTCAATAATAACCCAATTTAAAGTACGATGTTGCAACAAAACGACCATTGTAACTTATCAACAGATGGTGAACTTCTCAAAATAAAATAAGAAAAAAAATGTTTTCATTTTAAACATTTATATTCCACGTCGAAGTTCTCTTATTAAAAGCTATTGAAAAGAATAAAAATGTTTTGAATTTCTTATAACTGCATAAATTTCAGGTCTGAATAAATTAACAAATTTTTCTTTTAGAGGGGGGGGGGGAGTGACTACTTTTTCTTTTAGGGGTGGGGAGTAAGCTTATTCACACCTCACTACGGATGATGTGAAAATACTTTTATTTTGATCTTAAACCAACTAGAAAAATAAAAATCCCGGCAAAAACTTTTTCGCACTTAATAAATAGATATTCTGTTTTTTATTTTAAATTTTTATACTTCTGCAATACATTTTTTGTATGTACCCCAGGTTATGAAGTAAAAACTCTATTTACGTGTTATTAAGATATTTTTTTTATTTAATATTACAAAAATGTTGAGTCTATCTATACATTTATATTCCATTCTTCATCTTTTCTTTACAAAGGGAACATTATTGATAAAATATAAGATTAAATACCTTCAACAGAAAAGTTCTGAGTTTCAGGTTTTTTAAACATAATTCAAAGAAGAAAAAATTCTTTTTATCACAAAAATTGTAAAAAAAATGAAAAAAATGGGAATGTTTTTAAAAATTTAAATAGTTTTGAAAAAATATATTTGTGAACCTGTAGAATTTAAAAATAGTTCTATTTTGACATTTAAAATTATTTGAAAAGATCTGCTTTTTGTTATTTTATCATATCCTGAACAAGAAGATTGAAGATAGCTCGACCCTTCATTCAAAATATTTCTTTTCTTAGTTTCTACAGGGCGAGTAAAAAAAGAATGTGACAGCGAGATCTTTATAATGCCAATCTAGAACTGATTACAACTGTTTGATGACACAACTGGGTTTCTTCTTGAAATATATATAATGGTATTGAAGATAAATGAAGAAACAGATTACAATTACATCTGTTGAAAACCATTCATGAAAAATACTAAAAAGTCTCATCTTTTGTAGGTAACCCTGCAATTTTAACAATTTTAGCTTTTATTTCTGCTATACTTTATTGTTTATTGGATACAAACAAACAAAAAGCTAAATTTATAGAGAAATTAATAAAATATTATTTTTTACATCTTGACCTCAACTATTAGTGAATATAAACAATATGCTAAAGATAGAACATTAGTATCAGAAGGTCCATAGAAAAGGTCTACGGACAATAAGGAAGAGAAGGTTAAGAAGAAAAGGTCTAAGGACATTAAGGAAGAGAAGGTCCATAGGAAAAGGTCTAAGGACAATAAGGAAGAGATGGTCCAGAAGAAAAGGCCTAAGGACAATAAGGAAGAGAAGGTCCATAGGAAAAGGTCTAAGGACAATATAAGAAAGAGAAGGCCCATAAGAAACGGTCTAAGAACGATAAGGAAGAGAAGGTCCAGAAGAAAAGGTCTACGAACAATAAGGAAGAGAAGGTCTAGAAGAAAAGGTCTAAGAACAATAAGGAAGAGAAGGTCCAGAAGAAAAGGTCTACGGACAATAACAAAGAAAAGGACCATAAGGAAAGGTCTAAGGACAATAAGAAAGAGAAGGTCAATAAAAAAAGGTCTTAGAACAATAAGGAAGAGAAGGTCCAGACGAAAAGGTCTAAGGACAATAAGGAAGAAAAGGACCATAAGGAAAGGTCTAAAGACAATAAGGAAGAGAAGGTCCATAAGGAAAGGTCTAAGGACAATAAGGAAGAGAAGGTCCATAAGGAAAGGTCTAAATACAATAAGGAAGAGAAGGTCCATAAGGAAAGGTCTAAGGACAATAAGGAAGAGAAGGTTCATAAGAAAAGGTCTAAGGACAATAAGGAAGAGATGGTCCAGAAGAAAAGGCCTAAGGACAATAAGGAAGAGAAGGTCCATAGGAAAAGGTCTAAGGACAATAAGGAAGAGAAGGCCCATAAGGAAAGGTCTAAGGACAATAAGGAAGAGATGGTCCAGAAGAAAAGGCCTAAGGACAATAAGGAAGAGAAGGTCCATAGGAAAAGGTCTAAGGACAATATAAGAAAGAGAAGGCCCATAAGAAAAGGTCTAAGAACGATAAGGAAGAGAAGGTCCAGAAGAAAAGGTCTACGGACAATAACGAAGAAAAGGACCATAAGGAAAGGTCTAAGGACAATAAGAAAGAGAAGGTCAATAAGAAAAGGTCTAAGGACAATAAGGAAGAGAAGGTCCATAAGAAAAGGTCTAAGGACAATAAGGAAGAGAAGGTCCAGAAGAAAAGGCCTAAGGACAATAAGGAAGAGAAGGTCCAGGAGTAAACAAAAGGACCATTAGAAACGAGTATGACCATTAAAAAATGGCTGAGCCAAAAATAAGAAAAAGAAGGTCCTTCAGAAAAACAGGTTATAAAAAGTATGATAAGAAAGATTATATTGAGGTTTATAAGAGAACCAAAAGGAACATCAGAACAGGGCTATGGACAATAAGAAAAAGAAAGTTCATAAGTAAGTAAGTAAGTAAGTGATATTTATTGCACAATAACATGTTAACATATTAAAATGGCAGGAGATATACAATTCGCAGGATTGCGGTTTACAACGTAGATCTCATAATCAGTAAAAATAATAAGTAAAAAAGGACCGTAAGAAAAGTACAAAAAGAGTACAAAAAGAACTATAAGAAAAAGCTAACAGTACCATTTCACGGGCAGCCGTAGTACATTTGAATTTCCGAGCCGGGTCAACCTTTCCGGTCCCATTTTGTACAGTACCTAGCTCTATGGACAGCACTAGCCGGTGCAACAAGGTTGACACAGTCAGACTTTATGCTCCATTACTTTTACTAGAGAGACAGAGGTGCGTGATTTAGAATTTTTTTTTTTTACCGTGCCGCCAGGATGAATTATTAAGTTATGATAAGTTTAATGTGAATGTTATTGTTAGAAACAATTTCAACATAACTTAGACTAATACTGGATACGTCTAATTAATTAATTTAATTAATTAAATTATTCATTTGTTTAAATTGATGTTTATATTATACCTATTAAAACTGTTACTTCCAAAAATGAAACGAAAGATTTGAAAAGTTGAATTGATTTCCTAGCGACGAATGCATCTTGTAGAATAGGGTCTGCTCCTGAAATGAAAATGTTTTATTATTTTTTAATTTATGATTTAATCAGTGTAAATTAATATAGCATCAAATTCAGCACAGTATTTCATGATGATTCATATGGCGATGTAACATTATACCAACTAAGGTCATCGTTCTAGAACTAGTTAGATAATATTGTAAATTAAAAATTCTTAGAAATAACTTATCTAAAATTGCTTTTTTTGGTTGTTTATTTCATATCCAGCAAAAATGTCGGGTCACCGATATTATAGACTAAGACTAATATCTAATTTTAATTTATTTCACACTCTACCCTATTATGTGGATATTTAAAGTGTTGGAAAGTTAAATTTGCTTAACCCATAGAGTAATAAAACGAAGAGGTGAAGCTTAGTTCAGATGTATACAACCGACCTCCCTATTAATTAATTAATAGAGCGGTCGGTTGTGTACATCTCGACATGTTTACGTATCTAACACTGTACACTTGTATATAGAGTGATCGTATTTCTTCAGGGGTTTTATGGAATTGACCAATTTTTAGATTTTCTTTCTTTATTTAAACATTTGTCAATTTTCAAATTTGTAGGTTTTTAATTTTTAGCAAAAAGTTTTGTCAAAAATATTAAGTTTTATGGGCATGAACATGTGGGCATGGCATATAAAACATTCTTATTTCAAACATTTTTATTGTCTTTTCTCTTTAACTCTTTATCATAAACATGTTAGTGTATGCGGGGTTACCCACAAAAGATGAAACAACGATGACGACCTGGAGCTCTTAACCCTAAACAGGTTGGGGGGGGGGGGGGGGGGGTTGGCTTCCCCCTCTAATTTTTCAAATATCTCCATAAAACCACCCCTTAGAAATACGATCACTCTATATACAAGTGTACAGTGTTAGATACGTAAACATTTCGTGATGTATACAACCGACCACTCTATTAATTGATTAACAGGGAGGTCGGTTGTATACATCTTAGTTAAGTTTCACCTCTTCGTTTTATTTCTCTATGGCTTAACCTTTGTTAAGAGGTTATATTATTATTATAATATTCAAAACACATAACACAGTAAAAGTTAAGTAAATTGCAAGTAGCAGCATAACCCTTAAAATATTATTATTATTATATACATGTATTCACACACAAAGATATACATAGATAAATTAATGGCGTGGTTTAGATTTGTTAAGATATTCCGAATTTATAGTTTTACAAAAAAAATATGCAAAATTATGCAAAACTAGGCGACATTGATCCGTACTCATTACATAACAAATGTATCATTTCAGATATATATAGAACAAGGTAAAATATATATCTACGTGTGTTGGACATATATATGTAGTAAACGCCTACTCCAAAACAATTTCTCGAACGCCTACTCAGATACAACTCAGAATCTCTTGACTATCTGAGTAACTTAAAAAATGCGTCATGTTTAAAGGTTGGATTTGAAAGATAGAAGATTTGTGAAAATCTTGACACCTATCAATGTCAACACGCGGCTACACTCCCATGAACTATCAACGCCACTACCACTGGATGCGATCTCGTTAGCTATTGGTGTCAATATGGACACTAGCAATCAATCGATCAATGTCTTAAACAGGGCACGATCCACACGGCTACAATCCCGTGAACTATCAACGCCACTATCATTGGGTGCGATCTCATTAGCTATGTCAACCGGACAATAACAATTAATTGATCAATGTCTCAAACAGGATACGATCCGCATGGCTACAATCCCGTGAACTATCAATGCCACTACCACCAGGCACGATCTCAATAGCTATGTCAACCTGACAATAGCAATTAATTGATAAATGTCTCAAACACTCCACTACCACTGGGCGCGATCTCAAGGCAACGATCTTAATTTGTATGTTTCAACGAAACCATAATTACTCTCAACACTGTAATCAAAGCGGAGTTTCTATATCAACTGATGTATTTGAGATTTATATGTTACAAGTTAAATTCCTACCTTGTTATCTATATCACATGATAAAGACAATCATGTTATGTATTACAGCACAGTTGAAATAGGCGCATTTAAGTTGTACGTCATTAAATATATCACATGATCTGAGCTAATCATTCTACGTATTCACTTTAAAAGCAGTTTCAATGAATAATGGCTTTTACGTAAAAGTTTACAAACATAGATAGTTAATATTGTCGTCCGACATCCTTGATCAGTCCAAGGTTTAAAGGGTACCGTTGTGAATCCTTGATCAGTCCAAGGTTTAAAGGGTATTGTTGTGAATCCTTGGTCAGTCCAAGGTTTAAAGGGTATTGTTGTGAATCCTTGATCAGTCGAAGGTTTAAAGGGTACCGTTGTGAATCCTTGATCAGTCCAAGGTTTAAAGGGTACCATTGTGAATTGGGGATGCTTCTCTTTAAATGGGAGGTCTCTTAAAATTACGCTTACAATCCCTTTAATTTACCGCCTTGCAAACATACCTTTATGTTTTACTGTCTTTATCAGCCTTCTTGAATAATTTTATATCTTCCTCCTGAGCCCCCTCCCCCCCACCCACCCAACCCTCTCCCAAAATATCCGATATGTATTATTAATATATTACTATATATCAGCCACGCAAAGTTATCACTATTGTAAAACAGAAAATATGTTTTCATAACTAATCACTTTCAACTTATTCTTACTTTTTAATCTTTGCAGCCTGATCTCCTGAATTATACTCAGGGGGGATGATAGTTATCTACCTGTGTGCTCAGTTAGCTGTACTGTACACTTACAACTGTTTGCTAATATTGATATATTATAGGTTAGGCCAAAATCAACTTATAATAAACAAATATGAAGTACGCTCTCGGTATAGTGTATGGCCTATAAAATTAGTAAAGGATTAGCGTACATCATCATCGTATAGAGTATACACTATAACTCCATAGATGTAGTGATAAGAAATTAGGGTTTGTGACAAAAGGTTAGTTCCTTTTCTGAAAAAGGCAAACAAAAGCCGGTTCAATTTCTTATCGTTTCTAATAAAAACACCATTTTCTTAAAATGTTGCTAAACCTTTGGTTTCCAATTAATTAGTCTTTATATAGATCACTCAGTCATGATAACTTAATATAGTTTAAAATGTAAAGTTTAGTAAATACGTATTTATGTAGTAGGGTCTGGCTGAAACTACCGCGGCAACCAAATCTAAAATGCGCGTGCGCACAATAATTTGAACTCGGAGCAAGACAGTCTCCCTTTTCATTTTCTTTTATTTTAGATCTTGTTGAGGTGTGAGACCCTTCTTTACTGATCTTTTTATCAATAAATCAAATATTTTAATATTTCTTCACTAGATTTTACACTTCCAGTGATATTGACAGATATGAAGAACGAAATGAAAGAAAAGTGACGGGTTTTACATAGATATATATATAATATAGTAATGTATAAATACACATAGATATATATATATATTATATTATGGAAGACGTCGTGTCGGATCCAAAATAACGTGAGGAGTTTCTCTTCAGAATATATTTAACAAGATACTAATAACAGAAGAATCAACTCGTATATATATATCACTACCCTAGGTTCTAGAATCACATAGAAAGATCTAGAATGCTCCATAGGATTCTTAAGCTCGTTCCCGAATACGCTGGGTCTCGTCTTCCACAATATAGAAATGAAAGAAAAGTGATGGGTTTACATAGATATATATATAATATATATTAATGTATAAATACACATAGATATGTATATATATTATATAGAAATGAAAGAAAAGTGACGAGTTTTACATAGATATATATATATAATATATAGTAATGTATAAATACACATAGATATATATATATATTATATAGAAATGAAAGAAAAGTGACGGGTTTTACATAGATATAGATGTAATATATAGTAATGTATAAATACACATCTAGAAAATGCAAAGAACCATAAATATTAAATGTTTGTAAAAAAAAGTTTGTTGAAAGTTTGTAGAATATTTGATGACTAATCTGTTCACTGTTCAATAAATCAAATAAACTCAAGAAAACTATATTTATATAAATATATAACACTAGCTAAAGTGCCCGACGTTGCCCAAGTTACTCAAAGTTATTCCAGCCGTCTACCCGAGTTTGGTCGTAAATTACGATTTTAGCTATTTTTCCATAATAAAGTCGACATACTCAACTTAGAATCTCGAAACCATGTTAAGAAC